TCCTAAGCTCCAATGAGATCTCAAACTACTTTTCAATTAATCTTTGGTGATGGAACCTCAAGATTTAATATGGGTTCGGATCCTAACCACATTGTGTGTCGTTTGTTTGGCTCCCATAGTTTGGGTAGCTCATTTGGGGTTAAGAGGAAAAGAATGAACCACCAATGTAAGATGCACCCCGAGTCTTGGATGTTCTTAAGATTTGTATGAATCATTTATGCTTTACCGTTGGTACTTCAGTTAATTGTTTGTTGTTTCATGTATGTTTGTTACTTATACATTATGGTATGGCCTCATATAATATAGACTATAGAGAGAATGCAACACTCATAATGTTTGGCAACTGCATTTGCTTTTAAAAAAATGCAGGCAATTGCACTTGCAGTGGGAGATTGGTATTTTGATCGGGCAAGAGCAACATACATCGACTGTGCATACCCTTGTGATCGATCATGTCACAACTTGGTCTTCAGATGAGCATGCAATTTTGACTTTTCACATATTTTAATCTTATACCCCAGCGGAAAATTTTCGCAATGTATAGGATCTTCAGAATCACCTGTTCCAATTCAATTTGTGTAGTTTGTGAATTGTTGAGGTTTTGTTTTTTGTAATAAATTGTGTTTTATTTTTCTTTTTGTTTTTGGGCAATCATAAAAATAGTGGTAATAATTTCATACAATATACTACTAGTATATTACTACGTATTAGGCTAGTAGTTTTGGGACAATCCTTTTTTTTTCTATACAATGTGTACACTCTGCTCTCCATATCGAAATTAATTTTGTAGGTTGAATGTTTTTTTTAATTGGATTGATATTTGCTTGTTTAGTCAATTAGTCTGCATCCGACAAATGGTTGATTTATTTGTACTTTATAAGTTATAACCATCAAAGTTTATGTTTGATTTGAGATTGTAACTTGTCTAATTAAAAACTTAAAAACATTCGTAGAATTCATGATATGTTGGACAACGTTTTTATTGACTTCATAAAATGATGGACTGGGCCCGGGTTGACTGGCCTGTTGACCGGGCCACGGCCCGGTACTGTGTAGTACCAGCCCGACTTGCCAACCGGGACCGGATCAACCGCCCGGTGAGGTGGGTTTTCAGGGCGGGCTCCGGGTGTAGGGTTGGACTCGGGCCGGGTGGCCCGACCCGGAACCGGCCCGAACCGGTAGTGTTCCGACCGGGCCCGGTGGCTCGGTCAGTGACCGGTTCGGGTAGGCCCGACCCGCTGGGGTTCCGGTCCGGGCCCCTCAAAACGTGAACCGGCCCGGCCGGTTCGGGCCCGGTTCGGGCCATTTTATTTCATTTTGCTTTTTTCTTTTTTGAATTTTTTTAAGTTTTTGGGTTGGGCTGGGTATTTTGGGTCATTTGAGATGGTTTGGGGGTGCGGGGGTGGTGGTGGTGGTGGTTAGGGGTTACTTAGGAAAAGGCAAAAAAAATAATTGAACCGAGGCCCGGCCCGGACCCGGGGGTTACCCAGGCCGGCTCCGGGCCTCCCCTTTCCTGAACTGAGGCCCGGCCGGGCCCGAACCGGCCCGGGTCCATGCCTGTCCGGGTGCATGAAAATGGGGACCGAATTGGGCCTTTTTTTTGTTTTTTTTTTTGTTTTTTTTGGGTTTGGGCCTATGGTAGGTGGGCTGTTGGGCTGGGTGTTTTGGCGGGGTTTGGGATTGGGGGGAGGGGAATATATAAGAAAAGCTATAAAAAAATTGAACCAGTCTGACCCGGTCCCGGCCCGGCCCGGCCCTGGTAGAATCCCGGGCCGGTACCGGGCCTCACCCAAAAAAATTGTCCTTGTTTGGACCAGCCCGGCCGATGCCTAACTTCATAAGTATGGGTTTCTTCAAAAATATGAAAGAGAAAGTGAGTATCATGTATTCTTTTGTTTGTTACATTACTTTGTTCACAAAATTTAAGAGTATAATAGTAGGGAAATGAAATAATAAAAGTATGATGGGTGATGAAAAAGTATGAAATATAAAATGAAAAAAATCAGAAAAAGTGTAATTAAGTATTTTTAAAGGAGAAAATTGCCAAAAAGGATAATTTGGCAAATAAGAAAAATACCTCCTAAAAAGAAAATTGTATCAATAAAAAAATACGGAGGGAATGATCTACAACTTTTTTTTAGAGTAAAGAGTTTCTACTGTCTAATCACTGGTCAAGTTAAATCACCCATAATTGTTTGTTTTATGTATCAAATCTTTATCAAATTCCAATTACTTTTTTGTGATTTTGAAGAATGTTTAATGTATTTTTTGAATATGAAAATTTTATTTACCAAAGTAATTTGAGTGTTGGCAGAAATAAGTTAACTTTATCACCAGTCAAACATCCTCAGCTGGAATTGGAAGTTCTTTGTTGGATGGAGGGAGTAGCATTAGCATGCAAGTTACACATGTTGAAGCAAAACCTATATATAGTTTCATACATTGCTGGTAGTTAATGTAAATATAAATGCTTTGTAAGAGAAACGACCGACACCTACATTTTTTGGAACAATTAATTTCTTTTACATTAACCACTTTTTGTATTGTGCTATACACCTATACACAATAATTACTACTCCATATAATTTTATATATTGTTGTAGAATTTAGTTTTATAATTTTATTACATTTACTATAAAAGCTAACCCATTTAGTTGAGCCACAATAATGACTCATGGAAGATAGCTCACAACCTTTGTCACTTGAGCCATGCGTCCACAAAACCTAATTTTATTGCATATCTCATCACTGAATCACATTTCGTTCTAATGAATCGCCTCTATCACAAACTCTAATAATCAATAATAAACCCTCTTTATCACAACTGTGGCGACTCACCAAATATTTTATACACGATTCTCAGTTACTCTTAGATCTCAATCCCACCTTTTGTCAATTACCAGACCTTGCCGCAATTCATCTTATACAAAGGGACATTTCAGTGATCATTTCTCAAATAAAATTTTTATTATATAAAAATCCTTAACGAACCAGCATAAGATGGGCCACACAGAGAAGAAGATCCATATGTCTATATATATATGCGTGTAGGCGCACACGACGAAGGCGATGTTGAAAGATCACAGAAAATATAACACTCCTAGGGTTTACATAGTATGAGGAATCACAAATGTGGAGTATTTGGTCTCGCATTTAGTCTTTTTTTTGTCCATGTTAAAATAGATTATACAATTAAATGATAATGATATATTGATATTATAATTGTACAATCATCTTTAAATGTAATTATAATAACTTTACACTTAAATGATAATGATATATTGATATTATACTTAAAATAACTTTACCTTTACACTTAAACGATAAAACACTCTACACATGAGGATATAATAAAATACTTTATACAAAGTAGAACACTTTATTACTTTATACGCAGTATGTGATTTAAAATAAATGCCCACATATAGAAATGATATACAGAGCACTCCCTCCCTGTTTGAAAGATCACTACATTATGTCTTGACACACTATTTAAGAAGAAAATAGTAAGGTTAATGAATAGTATAGAAAAAACAGGATATGAGGTGAAAAAGTAGGGGAAAAAGATAAAAGAAAAACAATAAAGGAAAAATTTATCATAAGAGAAAGTGTAACAAACTTTAAAAAACATGCCAAATAGAATTGTGTAACAAACTTTTAACAAACTTTTCATAGTTTTTGCATTTTTTGCAATCATATTTAGTGAAAATTGTAATTGGCAGGTTTTTCTTCTTCTCAAATTGAGCCATCTCTTCTGCAATCATATTTTGTGCAATCCTTCTTCTCAAACACTCTAATATATGTTTCCACTCCCTGACGGAGAGAAGCAGTATTAAAAAGCAGATACAAACACCCCATAATTTTGGATTTACGCAAAAACTATGAATAAATCTCACTTAGAGTGCTTTGTATTTAAGTTTTTTATTCATAGTTTTTGCATTGTGTGCAGTCATTTTTAGTGAAAACTGTAACAGAAATTATCTGACTAAAACGTTTGCGTATTTCAAAATATTACTATTATGTTTTTATTCCCTAAATTAATTAGATATGAGTAATTACTGTCATGTTTTGACCGTACCAGTCTTTATACTTGACAGTATTTTCGAAGTTTGATAGTAATTATTTCTATTTAAAAAAAACTTCTACTACCTCCACCCCCTAAGTTTGGTATAAGAGAAAGTGACACGTTTATTAATAAAAGTGAGTTTATGTGGTTGATATTGAACTGATAAAGTAAGAATAAAGTAGGAATGATTTAGAACCACACAAATTTTACCAAATAAGATATGGGACAATCTTAGTGGGACGGACCGAAAAGGTAAAATGGGACAATCATAGCGGGACGGAGGGAGTATTTTTTTTATCGTCAAACCAACAAATATATTAAATCAACAAAACGTTCGTCACATGGCTAATAATACAATTAATGAAAAAGCAGGAAACAAAACGATAAAAAGCCTTCTATCTGTCGTCCGCCCTCAAACCAGATTTAGAATCTATCACCTCCGTAGAAGCAATGATATTCGTTGATCCTGTAACGGGCTCAACTGAGCCAATTCAGTGACAGACAAATCAGACTTCTCATCACCTGACTTAAATTCTAGAATCTCTCTGCTAGGAAATAAGAACACATCCTAAACAACATGTAAATTCGAAAGAAAAACACAAACATAATAAAACGGAATTAAAACAGAGTTCACTCATCTTCTTCCAAGCCCTAGACTCGCTTGATTGACGATATCCTCCATTGATAATCCTTGTTGCTGAATCGAACCCAAACTCCGCCAGAGCTTATCCACTTTTCTTTTTCAACACTCGACCTTCGATCAGAAACAACAGTAGAAGTCGAGCCTTGACCGCCAAAGCGCTGCATCCCTGATCCCGAGCCTGCTTGCACGACCGAAATCGACCGACGATCACTCTTCGTGGATGACGAAATCATAAGTCGTAGGAAGATGACCACTTTTAAAAAAAACTTTTGAAAAGTTTTTAAATTTTCCCAAATTGTAATAGCCAACTTTTCCTTCTTCCCAAACTGAGCCATCTCTTCTGTAATCGTGTTTCTTCATTACTACCACACATTTCCATCTGATGAATGCAATGTAACCATCGTCTCCATGCCACATCCTATCCACCTCTCTTCCACCGCAGCTCCGGTCACTCCTCAACTCCCCGCCCCACCATCCAAACTCCACCACCTCCCCCCTCCGCCTCCTCTCCCGGCTTCCTCCGATCCCACTCGTCGTGTAATTTCCTTCCTTCCGGATCCCAAACCACCCAAAGCCGCCGCACCAGTTAACACTCAACTCCAAGAGAATCTCCTCTACTTGGATTCCCTCGGGATAGACTCCTTCCGTTGCCTCACTTCCCATCCTCTGCTTGTCTCTGCCTCACTTTTCCAATTCAAATCCGTCATTGATTTCTTGTACACCCTCGACATCAGTATACGCGAGATCCGCCGTGCGGTTCACATGTGCCCGGAAATCCTAACTGCCTCCGTCCCGTCTACTTTACGCCCCGCGGTCGCGTTTCTGGTCCTTGAGGCTGGAGTGGAAGGACGGAACCTTCCCGGCGTCATACACGGCCGGCCGCGGCTTCTCACATGCAGCGTCGAGGAGCGGCTCCGTCCGGCTCTCTTTTTCCTGCAAAGTGATGTTGGAATCAAGGATGTTAGCAGATGGACGGCCCTGCTTTCCTGTTCTGTGGAGTCCAAATTCATGCCCAGGCTAGACTACTTTCAGAAACTAGGGTTTTCAGAACGAGAGGCCATGGAAATGTTCAGGAAGTTCCCTTCCTTGTTCTGCTATAGCATTGAAGAGAATATGGAACCGAAATTCAATTACTTTATGGTGGAAACGGGGAGGGAGTTGAAGGAACTGATTGATTTCCCTCAATACTTCTCCTACAGCTTAGAAAAGAGGATAAAACCTAGGCATCAAACATGCAAGGAGAAAGGGCTGTGTTGGTCCTTGCCTTTCATGCTGAAATCGTCAGAGGTGCAATTTCAGGAGAGATTGCAGGTGTGCTGCAATTCATCTATGCCGGTGAGATCTTCACCTTTGTGGTGTGCCGGAATCTGATCATCATAGGTAAAGATATAATTTCCTATCCAATTGTTAATTTCCATGTATATGTTATTGCGGCAGAATCACATTTTGTCACTGTAAGAGCCCTTCCTGTCTTCCTGTGTATTGTTAATGTATGTTAGAATGCTCTGGTTTAAAATTAGTTTCACTGGTTCATTTAACTTCTCATGTATATTGATCAATGAATGTTGAATAGTATTGGCGGAATGCATGAATATTTCTCTTTCTTATTTCTATAATCAATTGAATTGCATTGTTGGAATCATGCAATATACTCACAATTTTTAGGATGATTGGTATAACAAACTTTGTGTCATGCAAGCAAGATGTATAGGTACTACACATCTTTCTGTGAAATTAGTTAATTATCTTGTCTCCTCCTCCTCCTCATCATCATCAGTGTAGACTGTAGATGTACATGCATATGAATTCATCAAGACTGAATTTCTCCCCTCCCCACCGACCCTTTGTATGGCATTCTTCTTCTGCAACAGAATCTTAGTTTGTTACGTTTAAGAATAAACAATTGCCTTTAACTTGCTGCCTCAAATACTGTGACGGCGCCATTTCACCAAAGCTTGATGGAATACAGCCTACATCTTTGAACAAAGGTGATATAATTCGTTCACTCTTAGTACTGACAGTAATGCAAGTCTTTCCCAGTGATCAATTTGGTCACCTTTTGGAGCGGGCACCTGGATTGACCACCTCTTTCCAAGTCCATGCCAAACTTTAGGGGTTGGTGCTAATTAAAAGTAGTGCACAATTTTGCTTCTGAATTACTAGTATGTTTAAGTTACTCTAGAACATTAGTTTTTAATGTTCATATTTGGAAAAACACATAAAAGTCAGAATCTTTAAACAAATAAAATAGAAGAGCATGTAGACTATATTTTCAAAATTTTGGGCCTTTTAAAACGGGATGCAACACCTGTCGCATGCCCTAATCTACAACCCTGCCCCGTCTATGTAGAAGGGATCATAGTCTATGTAGAAGGGACCATAAGACTTGTAGGCATGTGCTTTGCAATGGTATTTGTTGATGATGGGTCATGAGTATATCCATGTGTAGGAAGGTAGCAGAGGCCCAGAGGGAGCTAAGAGGCCCCAGTTATATCTTTTTTGATGAAACAACAAAGGTAGTGATATATAGGCCGGGTTGTGGTTGTGGCTAAACAAACAAATCATTTTTTAGGCAAAAACAAAATCATCAGTTGTTTGCTGTATCCTCAAAACAAGTCTCATAGTTGAATCTCTTTTCCCCATTCTGCCTGGCACGGCGTCGACTAGGCGTCGACTAGGCGTCGACTAGGCGTCCAGGTGATGGAGAAGGATGGACTAGGGAGATCGACTGGCCAGAAGATTACCAGTCGCGTTTGGCGTCGCCAAGGCGTCGTCCTGGCGTGAACTTGGCGACTTGTGGCCGCCTATTTTAGCCCAGTCAAAAGTCATCCGCAGGCCCAAAGCAGATTAAGGTTTAATTTTTTTTGGAAACGCATTTAATTAAGGTTTTAAGGCGGTGGCCTTCTAATTAAATACACCGCCCGAAGCCATCGATTAACTCACAGAGTCACAGAGAAGCAACGAATTGACTTCAGAAGGCAGAAGAAGTCGCCGGTCAAGCCAATAGCACTATAGCAGACTCCCTGTCCGTCGTTGAAGACTTGAAGGTCGAAGCATACGACGAGACAGTCCAGCTGAGTAACTTGAGTCCACCGATTTCTTATCTAATCATATTTATGATGAGCAATTTTTATCTATAAATTTTTTTTAAGAAGCAGATAACATGTACCGACAAGGTACAGTCTTTCCCTCATACTCGTAATAATAATATATTAAAAAACATTTGTATCTGTTAAATATTTTTCGATGTGATCGTTTTTCATCCACTTGGGAGTTGGAAACAAAAATTTTAGAACCGCAAATTGACTTCCTCATTCTTTGTAATAAAAAATGCAATTTGATTGTGAATTTGTGGTTCTCTATTCTATAAAACAATAATTTATTCTACTGGTGATATACTGAAAAGTGAAAACTACTATGGTCGTATATTGGTTTAATAAATTGAGTCCCACCATTCCTGTTTTCTTGTGCTCACGCATTCTTTACTCTAAAAATTTAGTTAGTAATATACTTGATAAAAATGTTGTGCGACTCATGAGTACAACAACATCAAAGCCTTAGTCCCAAAAGATATAATTATAAATATTTATTAGTAAAAAATATAGTGAAAATTTAAGTTTTGGCCCTTGCTATAAAAATTTCTTAAACCCCGGCCCCTGCAAGCGGTCAATCCTGACTTCGCCACTGCTCATAGTTGAATCTATCTTCCCCCATTCGGCCTGGCACGGTCGATCTGGAAACCAGTACTTAATTGTAGGGCTGGGCACGGGCCGGGTCGGGGCGGGTAATGCAAAATAAAATGGAAACGCCGGTTCCATTGTGCGGTCCGGTCCGGTCCGGGTATTACAATTTTCAAAATAGGAACCGTAAATTACCCGGCCCGTTTGAAACGGGTCGGCCCGGTCCGGGTTTTACAGTTTCTATTCTCATGTCTTGAAATTAGTTAAAACTCACGAAGTTCCAAAAATCAATAATCAATAATATAGGACATTAGCAAGTTTCAAAAAAACAACATAATGGTGCACATATAACACAAGCGAAAAGTCCAATACTCCATAATTTCTTGTATATAAGTTTCAAACAATTAAATAAATTCCAAAAATATGCAACATAGCCAAAATACATATTTTCTAACATTTGTATTTAAACATGTTGTCTAACATCACATATTAAAGTGATTGCTTTTTTTTATATTCAATTTTCATTATTAGCCAAAGTTGAGACATACATGGTGGGTGGTAAACACAATTTATATATTTTAATAACAATATAATAAAAAAAATATAAAAAAATCATCTTTAACAAATAATTAAATTCCATAGAAAGGAATAATTCAATAACAATAAAAAGTAATAAGATATTTATGAAACATTTAATCAATAATTTGAAAACAAAAAGATGTTACTGCAACTCAATTTAAAATCCTACTTCTAGCAAATGAAACAAAACTATTTCAAAACCGACTATCAAAAAACTATTAATAAATTAATATACAATATATATAACGGGCCGGGTCGGGTACCCGTTGTTTTTTAATTTTGGAACCGGTCCGGTTGCTTAAAAAAAATTACTCGACCCTACCCGGACCGTTTTATGGGAACAAAAAATGGAACCAGCCCGTTTTGGACCCGAACCGCCATTACCCGGACCGGACCGCGGTTCCAAGACCCGTTTGCCCACCCCTACTTAATTGGTTATCAAAACCCGGGGTATTAACATGGAACCCAACATAGGCTAACAACTGGAAACACCATGCTGGCCCATAAGAACCCGATTTGGAATGAAACTTTGGGAGTATTATTTATACCTCTTTTTATCTAATAAAATAAACTGCAGCTTAAAAATGAAAGAAAAATATTTTATAAAATGTTGTGTCGCATGAGGAAGAGAATATATTTTCAACGTGTTTTTGAGCCTTTTCATGTATCGTCGTTATGGAATTATTATGAAGAATGTTACTCCGGGACATTCTGACTAGTTGATTACCGGGTAAAATGCTTATTTGAACACTTTTGAAAAGTTAGGCTGCTTGATTGGATGCTTATCGAGGGGGGCTTAATCAACTCTGTGAATACAGTACATGGGCTTATCTTAGCAGTTTTCTCTATATTTTTCTCTATAAAATGAAAAATACATGTAGTCTCATTTGAAATATATTTGTAAATTACATCTAATCATACATGTCAGAGTTCTTAGATTTATAGAAAATGATAAATAACTTACAATTTATCCCTCGGTACAAATTTCTTTCTAGATTGTCTCAAAAATATGAACGTTTGTCTAAACTCATCTCAATAACCTTTTTTTGTTACTCGTTGAAAGTTGCTGTCCGGTCGTCGCCATTTGAGGCGATTCCTGGTGAATTTTTTTGATGAATTTTTTGAACATTTTATTCATTAAATCTAGTTTACTCATACCAAATTTCAGCTAAAACATCAATCGGGAAGACATTTAAATGAATTCTTAAAGATAACTATGCTTTTAACTGCGTAATTATCTTCAAGAATTCATTTGAATGCCTTCCCGATAGAAATTTTAGCTGAAATTTGGTATGAGTAAACTAGACTTAACGAATAAGATGCTCAAAAAATTTCGTCAAAAATTTTCATTGGGAACCGCCCCAAATAAGACAGAACTTCCTATATAAGTATTTGACATTTTTTATGCAATTCCGAGTACCAATCCGACTCTTACCTCCTTAAATAACTTCAGTTTGTTTTACTTTTAGAAGCATTTTTCCTTTATTTTCCAGCAAATTTTTCATATTTAAATAAATGGATGTATAATTGAGAGACAATCTTACACCACATTTGCTTTTTGTCCATGAATCATCATACATAGGGCATTTTACCTTTAACTTAGCCCACACCCACAAGATGCAAAAAAATGACATTTACTCGAGAGACCTAGATCGGATTGGGTATCGTCCATGAAAGGAAAATGTTAAATCACTTCCAGAATGCAAATATAGGCCTTTCAAATCCAGATTTCCGACCAGCTGCACAAGAAGTAATATCTTCTACGAACCGAAATCCAATCTGCCATTAAATTGCATATTCATCAAATCAATTTTTTTGTGGGGAAATGTCTAAAATAGGAGTAAAAACAATGTAAATTTCAAAAAAAAAGTAGTATGTTTGTTACTCTGAACAAGAGTAACTTACTGTGATTTTGAAGTATTAGGGGTTGTTTACTTTTATTTTCATTAAGTCCTGTTTGGATTAAGACGTCTGTCTGTATTAAGACATCTGTCTGGATTAAGTGGCACTAGGATAACAAGTTGTTTACTATGCGTGCTGAATGTGTTGTCTGAATTATACTCCCTCCGTCCCAATTTGTAAGATACATTACGGTTTACGATGTTTGACTGACGATAAAGCAAATTGATCCCTGTCAACACTCAAATTATTTTTAGAAAATAAAATTTACATATTCAGAAACTACATTAAAACCGCTACAAAACCTGCAAAAAATAATTCAAATTTCATAAACTTTTGATATATAAAATAAAAGATTAAAAGTGATTTGTGTTGACCAAGTGAATAGTAAATGTATCATACAATTTGGGACTGAGGGAGTATTAAGTTACCATTTTACCCTTATGTCTGTAACCAATGATGAACATGTACT